AATCCTGGCACAGACTACTTCTAATTTACTGGCACAACCTTGGAAACACTACAAACGATCTGTCTTCTCATATTCCCTGCATCACTAAGAACAGAAAGGTAATTAGGTAATTGTACCTTCTCTAGCAGCAGTGCTGGGGAGTCACTTCAGGCTGTTTTCTGAAGTTGCACTGAAGTAGCAGGATATATTTTCATTTTTAAAATACTTAAGCATTATTTGGATAACAAATTGACTTAACGCAATGGCCGTTAATGAGGTCCAGTGCACGTAAGTCATACTTGCATGGAAAAAAAGAACTTGAAACCTAACTATGAGAGCTGAAAAGGGATTGATTTCTTTGTACGGTGTCCTTTTGGCCTCTTATTTTTTTCTTCCTGGAGAACACTTGTTGACTGGGGCAGCTGTGATGGAGGAGCCTGTGTGCAATAGCCTGGGAAGGAAGAACCTCCTCTGCCCTGAGGTTCAGCCTGTGGTTTGTTGATGAGCCTGGACAAATCACCTTGCCTAATGCAGCCCCACAACTTCACCCTACAAATTAGAGGCAATGATGCTTTTCTACTCTGACTAGGAAAAAACAAATCCATATTTCATTACCAAGGAGAACTTAAGGGTTTCCTTCATGCAGTTAGGAGGCACATCTGCATGAAGTGGAGTGTATTCTCCTGTCAGCATCCATCCTTGGCTGCTTCTCTACCTTTTTTCCCCCAGAACTGGGTAGACTATTCTACAATGGTTTAGACTGAGAAAAATAAATTTTGCAGCAACTTTATGGTTCAGTTAATGGTGCATCCTTGTACCTGTCTCAGAGAAGAGAGGCAGTCTTTTATGTCACTCATGTCTTTTTTAATATACCTACAAATTATGCTATAGGTTTTACATTTTTGCTTCATCCTTGTACTTAAGAAGTGAGTTTGAAATGCTTTTCTCCTTTGAGAAAAATGTAAGCTCATTTCACTAGATGGCCATGTATATTACTGACAGGTGACAAAAGTGCAATTTACCTGCCAAATAGCCTCCTATGTATCTCTAGTGAAGAATTTTTACTGTTCTCTGGCTTGTATCCTTTTGTCCACTGCACTGGGACAAGGATAACCATAGATTTAGTGTGTAAAGACTTGGTTTTCCACCTCTGGGAAAATGGCTCTCATCTAACTTGACCCTCTTAAGTGCAGTCACTGAAACAGATGGAGATGAGGCTTGGGTCAGCATAAATCTGACCAGTTATGAGGATGGCTTGTCGCAATTTGGACTCACTAAACAGAGAAGGTGAAATATGCTTGAGTAATGGGAATCACATTGAGCACATCCTTCTGAGGAAAACCAGTTCATGCACAGGGAAGAAAAAGGAATAAAAAAGGTTTTCAGAAAACTACTAATTGGGCTGACATGTTTTCAGAGGAACATGGAGTGGTGGGCAAGTAACATGGCCTCCCATTTTGCACTGCAGCATCTGAAGTCAAAGGGGATTGTACTGAGCCTATGTAATCTCTGTATGATGCTTCTGATCATCACAGGGTAGAGTTCTGATTATTTTAACTTAAAGGTACTTAAAAAGAGGAAAAGTAATTCAGAAGACAGATGTAGGGAACAAAAAGGAGATCTTTGATGTACTTGGGGCGCTGGAGACAGCTGTTGTGTTTCACCTTGAAAATTTGTAGGGAGTGTTCAAAGCTTGAACACTAATGGCTTTGATAACGGTTCTGCTTGGATATGTAGAATTATTGCTATTTACTCCACAACTCATCTACAAGTTCCTGATGATCTTTAGTCAAAAGTAAAGTTGTCCAATCTGAGTAGTTCAGGTTTTTTTTTCCTAGGATTTTTGTATAGGCCCAGGAGAAACACTTCTGCAAGATTTTAAAACTGCAAGCTCATGTCCTATGATCCTTAAGAAGTGCAGCTGAGCTTATAAAGAGAGGGGGCATAATTTTTTTTTAATTTAAATACCTTCAAATTCTTACTCCCTGCCTCAGGCATCATTTTAGCTTTTGTTTGGGGGCAGGGATGAGGTCTGTTAGTTTGGGTTTTTTTGGGTTTTTTTGCTACAGATAGTTTTTATTTTCCACCCCATCACTCTGAGTTACTGCAAGTTTCAGTTCTGCAGCCTTTAATTGGTGGTGTTAGCAATTCTCTTCTTTTTTTTTTTTTTTTTTTTTTTTTTTTTTTTTTTTTTTTTTTTTTTTTTTTTTTTTTTTTTTTTTTTTTTTTTTTTTTTTTTGATCTGACATCTGCACTTTTCTCTTAATCTTTAAATTGTGTTTTGAATGCTGGCATAATTAGATCAGCAGCTACCAGGTGAGGAAAGTTGAAGCACCATTTAATCAAGCTGAAAAATCCCTGGTTTGGGGGAGTTATGTGGTGTGCTGTTTTTTCCTTTTCCTTTTTTTTCCTCAGGTATTTTTCAGAAACACCCTAAGGATATTATTTTTTTAAATTATCCTCATTATTTATGTACAGACATATTTCTTGTCTGTTGTTTTATGTAACAGCATATATAGGCCCACTTTGGGAAATTCATAAGCATTATCCCAAAGAGCACTAGTTGGATCATTAAAATTAATAATCTACAATTTGAAGTCTTTTAAGATAGGTTTGGTTTCCCCCTGACCCCACTTATATGGGCAAGCAAGCAAAATTTTCTGAAAGTCATTCTTAGTTAAGAGTAAACAAACAAACAAACACACTGTGGGCAATCTGGTTCAATTAATGTGAGAGCTGTCGGGAGGGTATGTTTTAAGACAATGAACTGACAGTGTTATTCAAAGGCTGAAGCAAAAGTTTCTACTCCAAAGAGAGAATTATATTTATGCTGATTATAACGTGCTCTTCAATGACAGGCTTCTTTTATGAGAGATAAATTTATTTTGGTTTTTGGGTTCCTTTCCTTGAAGAAACTGGCTTAGAACTTTAAATTACAATGGCTGAAACATTAGGGAAAAATAGAAAGCTCACAACAAACACACAACAGCTGTTTCTGCTGTATATTTAATATGTACAGCTCTATTAGATTGGTTTATTAATCCATCTGCAGGTATCCTGCAACAGGGGCCAGATGGCTCAGGAGATGAATAACAGCATAAAAAGGTTTGCAAGTAGCAATCTATTGTAGGTCAGAAATAGCCAAATGATGTTGCCTTCAGGTGTCTGTTCAGGAAGCAGCAGGGATGACTCCAGGGGGATGGTCTCACTCCTGCACCTCATCCCGTACCACCAGAACTGCTCCAAGAATTCTCCCAAATGAAAAGAAAAACAAAATACTAGCAATGGTAACAGGCAGTCAGGCAAGTGCTGCCTACACATTGGTGATGATGCTCCCTGGTAGGATGCTTCAGGATGTTTTGTTTTGGGATAAAGCCCAGTGGGTGACTTCATAGGTGACTGTGGATCCGTGTTCACAGCTGTCTCCTGGGCTCTGAAACATGCACACAGCTGGCTTCCGAGAAGTGGCATTGAGGTCTCTGTGCTGGAAAACTACCAAGGGATTGCATATTTTGTACACACAGTAATATAATAGACTCCATTTTTAAACTTACATGATCGAGTCTGGTCTGGAATTGCAAATCAAAGTGCATTCTTTTAGCTGGGTTTTCTGAAAACCTTGGCAACAAACTATTGGGGAAAAAATGAGTGTCAGGTTTTGTACCTGTTTTTCTGCATTTAACTTATCAAAATTTAGAAGTGGTTTGTTGTTCTGAATTTATGATTATAGAAACTAGTATTATTAGGTAACAGCAGGCAAAAAAAATGAAAGACATGCTACCAGGTATTAATAAAGCTGGTATAAAACTAGCTATACAGACACAATAGTAACATAATCCTGCTTTCTCTATTTGATGGGACCATAAAGAATCATGGTAAGATTCCCCATATGACTAAACCTGCAAACTAATTTTCATAGTCATAGCACGCTGCAGGTGTATTTCTCCAGACACCCCACCTATGTGTGGATATTACCATGGCACTCAGAGTAGTATGACATAGTCATAATTCAACATATGAATTGTATCAGATCCCTTGTGTCAGTTCTGGTTTCAGACATCAAAAGTAAAATGAATTGGTCTTGCCTCTTGGGCCCCAGGAAGACAATGCTTTGCCTTTAATCGTTGGAACTGCTTTTGGAATCAAGGAGTGATACTACCTGAATTGTAGGCTTGCACTTAGAGGCTTGTTCTGATGTTAGCAAGGCCAGGTATACCACATAGCTCAGAGGACAAATGATGCATGTGTGAGTAAAGAGGATTAACTACAGCATGAAAATAGACTTTGCACCCAGATGGAGGGGGATGCTGCCTAACACTGCTCCATTTTAAGTCTGGGGGTTTGTTTAGAAGAGCAGTTGAGGGTGGTCTAGGGAGGTATCTGTGACACCAAGGTAAGTGTTCTCTCATAGCTCTGTCTCTTGTAATATATTAAGGATATTTGTACCTTGCAGGTCACTTTGTAATAAGTCACTCTGATGACTATTTAGAACTAATGCCTTGTGAAGGCTGACCTAGAACATAGGCTAAACAGAATTAAATAATAAAGTAGGTGTTTATTAGAAAGCCTCAATGGATACACCTTGGGCAGCACAAGAGCACAGCCAGGGCTACACCCAAGATGAACCCAAAATGGTCACAAAATGGACAACCAGTCAGGACGTCTCTCTCTTTTATAAGTTCTGGTCCATTGGCATATTGGAGGTAATTGTCCAATTACAGATTTAGCCTGTGAAGTCCCGTCCTTCTTGTTTTTCTCTCTTCTGTTTTTCTCCACCATTGTTTATGCTCTTGGGCTTGAAATTTGGATCATTTGTCCCTGGTCACCAGCTAGAGAAGGAATTGTTTTGTCTGCCTACTTTGTGAAGAGAACTTACTATCCTCTAAATGAAGCTCAGAACTACACACTAAAGCAGCACAGAATCTGAAAAATATAAAAGCTGAAATGTAAGGCATCAAAACAACCATGTCCTGTTGCTGTACTTCAAGTTCAAATAATCGCTTGGTTTCCTTGCGTTTCAGGTCATCGGTTGAAATTTAAATTCTTCATCCCTAAATGCTAACAGATATGACTGCCGAAAGAAACACTGAGTATGTTAAAATTAATTGTTATTTTGGGATTCATGTAATGCTGGTTCTTTGTGTGGTTTTTTTTTAATTTACTATTTGTTTGTTTATTTTGTTGGGCTCTTTGTCAAGCTTTGTTGTTGCTAATATGGTAGATTATACCAAAGATAGAAAATCCTGAGATTTCAAATAGAAGCGGGGAAGGGCTGGATTCAGAGCCACAGCTACATGTCTGTAATTGTTGAGAATTATTCTGTTGAAGCCCATCAACCTTGTGTTTGTGTCTGTGTCTGTGTGTATCCGTGCGTTTCTCCACTCATGTACATTAGTGAAGTCAGTGAAGTTAAAATGCAGAGCTAAAGGCCAGATATTTGAGTGGTTTAAATAGATTCAACTTCATAGATTCCCTGGACCCATAGCAGTTTGTATTTGATTTAACTCAGTATACTAAGTCCAAATATCTATAAAAATAAAACCTGTAGAAACAATGAAATATTAAGACCCATGTTGTATAATTAATTTTAAATCTAAATTCAATGAAATAAGATAATTTGACATGAAAATACAACTTCAATACTGTCAATGAAAAGGATGGCTATTAGTATTATTGTTAACATGAGATATTGTTATATAATATTGTTAACAGTAAGAACTATTCAGTGAAACATAAGCTGAAGGACTTGGGGATGTAAAAGCAGTTAGTTCAAGTCCAAAATTGTATCCTATATGAATTCAGGTGGAAGAATCAGATTTGAAGTGCTAAATCTGAACCAAACAAGAATTTATTTCTACTGTCTAGTGACTTCTAAGTTGATCTTCTCTAGCAGATAAGTAATTACCATATCTAAAAACAACTTCCTCTATTTTATTTACTTAGCATGCTTTCAGGCTGTCTACCTTAGATAAAATAAGAGAAAGCAGAGCAAGAAGGTTCTTGGCTAAAAATTCAGTATATTTGCCTTTACAAGGCAAGAATCTAATGAAATGCTTTACCAGTATCTTCATAAATGCAATTTCATAAATCAATAATTAATTCATCTTAAAATTACTGTGTCTATCCTTCATTCATCCTGAGTGTCCTACCTACAGTGAGCTCTGAAGCTGCTGGTTTAGTGTTCCCTGGATGGCTGCAGATGGCCACTACTTTCTCATCTTTTAGCTCCTTTAGTTTCTATCCATTGAGTGTTGTTTTTTTTATGGAGAGTCTATCACATTCTTTAACTTCCCTCCTCTGTTCTCTCTTGGCACTACTGATCTTCATCACACATCTCTTTCAATCTGTCCCAGGATTCACTCCTGCTTTTTGCTCTGTTACCTCCTCACTGCTCATTCCTCCAGTCATGTGTTACTCAGTCACTTTTCATGCATGGGAGTGAAAAAGGCTTTTCACAGTGACTGCTGTCAAGTGCATTTAAGGGACTCTATTCATGGCAGAGAGTAAAAACTATGGCTGGGGGCAATTAAATGCACTAGTGAAGCAGAGGAGTTTCCTGCCTGCAGGGTCCACATGAGCATAATCCATCCAAGAGCTGAGAAAGTCTTATCCTTCACTGAGCCCAAGGGGAGCTGAAAGTCTCTCAATGCTTTGCAGGAGCAAGTAATGAAATTTATGGAGAAGCCAAAGAATATTTCATAAGGATGACTTAATGAAACTTTGCTCTTGCCTTGTAGGGGCCCACAGGTTTTATGATGCTGCATTGGTCAAGGCAAAACCATTGTCAACATGGTAAGAGCCTTGGCAGTACATCAGTTATGAGATAAAACTGGAAAATGCTCTAGTGAGACCTAGATTTTGCTGCTTTCTTGGATGCCTTGCTACAGCAGTGGCACTGCTCTGCTCTTCAGTGACAATAAAAGCAAACACCACATAACCATGACAGTGGGAGTGTTATACGTTTTTTGGTATGTGGCTGGAGGTGGTTAGTTGTGCAAATAGCTGGAACAGCATCTCAAAGTATGGTTCTCTAGTCTGAATTTGTCAATAAGCTAATTGGTGTGCATATTAAAAAAGATTCTTAAGGTATTTACACATGTGCAATAGAAGATTTTCAGTCTTTTATCTACTTGGCTGCAATAAAAAAATCAGTTAAACGAAATAAAATTCTATCTACTAAGGATTAGTGTTTGCAGAGATTTCATTGCAGTAACAATTTTTCAAGAGAAACAGCTTAACCCAGTAGAGTGTGGGGATTTGGGTTTTTTTGGTTGTTCTTTTTTTGTTTGCTTTTTAAAATTTTTTATTTTAACTGTCTTACACATTTTCAGATGTGTTTCAGTTAAGTGTTGCACTTGTGTGTTCCTCTCTCCATTTACTTCTGTGCTCACCAAAAAAAATTTGTGTGCTAACACAGAAGAATATTGTAAGCCCTTAAATTTCACTGAAACATTGAAAATGTAGAGAAGCAAATATAAGAGAGGTTTCAAGGATATGCAGCATGCTTCTAGTAAGTATGGATCAAGAGCAATAGCACTGTTTCAAAATTAACTAGCTCCAAACCAGCAAAATCCTGCTCTTTCTTCCCTCAAAAAAACCCAAAACAAACAAACAAAAAAAAACAAAACAAAACAGGCTTAGATTATTTAATGTGAATGACATAAATTTGGAACAGCAACTTCATCCAAAAATTATTCTGTTCTGTTTTCTTTGTCCATTTTTCTCAATTTGCATTGCTGACCAGCACTGGGCAGATTTAGTGTCCAGTGTATTCCTGCACTCAAAAGGTTAAGTCTCATGATACATTCAATATCCAAAGGTTCTGTGCCACTGTGTTTCTTCTGGTGGCCAGAACAACAGTTTTTGTTATCATTTATTCCTCAATTCCCACTCATCTGGCCATGAACACCAAAGAGAAAAGTATCCACAGGGAGAGTTCGCACCTGTTCTGCATAGACGCAGCTTTGAGAGCTGCCTCCTGACTTAAGCACTGAGTTTGATCTCTAACTGCAAAAATTGATTTTGCAGTTGGTCCTCAAAAAAACAATTAATACAATACTCCAGAAGGATAAATATGGAAGGATAAATATGCTGTTGATTTAAAAAAAAATGGCTGGCAAAGTTTAGCTAAGTGGAAATGTAGCTGATGTTCATATGGAAAGTTTTGCTAACTAAATTTGCTGCTGAATATTCCCAGATGACCTTACATATCAATTTAGCTCCCCAGTCCAGCCTGCCTGAAATTTGCATCAGTGTTTCTGTTGCCTATTAGTAAGTTCTGTGTGTGTGTGTGTGTGTGTGTGGTATGTTCAGATCCGTGTGGTCACACCCAGTAAATGTGATTTTCTTTCCTTTAGTGAAATGGGGCAGGACTTGAAGGAACATCTTCAAAATGAGGTTGGAGGAACCATTCCAAAAAGCTGCATTTCTAAGAGATGATTCCATGCCTGATTGATTGTGATTCATTATATATGTTATATATTATGCATATACATTCTATATTATGTATATAATATTCAGATCAGAATTATACTAGGGGAAATAATACTGAAACATCATGATTGTAGTGAGGTGGAACAATTATAATACAACTAACTACACTGCTTAAATATTAATTTTTATGAAAGACATTATGCTCTAAGTTATGCTCTTCATCTGGTAAGTTGTTCTCACTTAAGTCTCATTCCAGTATTCAATTTCTGGTAGAACATCGGGAAAAAATAATAAAATATTAAATGCTCTCATTATGTTTTGGGCAGCTTGTATTGGCAGTGAATCCCATACTTCATTTACAACCAAGCTTACAGTTTTTGCCACTTAGGCATAGCTGCAGCTTCTCTGAGTCTTTGCTACTAAGAGTTAAAATGACAATTGCTGTGAGAGAACAGACTGAAAACTAAAAGGCCCTTGACTAGCCTATCACTTTTAAGACCAGCATTGAACCCTTAATTTATTGGGCAGATAACAACAGCTAGACGCACTGCATGGCATCCAGCATTATATACAACACCATCTAGCACAGTATGTAAAAAATAAATAAAGACAAAAATGGCATAAAATTGGCTCCTTGTATGTTACTGCACTTTAATCTCTTATCTTTGCTTTGTTCTGTCTTGTTCAGTGCAACTTCTGCCAGTTCATAGTAAAAAACCCACCAGGTACATCTGTAATTTCATGCAATTATTAAACCACCTATTGTTGAATGTGTGCCTGTCTTAGGAATTAATTGTAGTGTTTTTGCTAAATAGCTGTCTTAGATGCCCACCTCTCTAGAAAAAGCAGCTTTCATTTGGCAGGGAGAGTCTCAGAGACACCTTGATCACTTTTGTCTTTGTGCTCAAATCTTCTCTGTAAGAACAACACATTCTTTGAAGACAAACTGAAAAAGATCCGTGTATATTTTTGGACAGAGGCTAGCCACAACCACTTTGAGGCTGCCCTTCATGCAGCCTTTTCAAAACTACTGTTCCTTTCTGAATATTTTGAGGAAGGCTTTGTTCTAGCTACAGCTGCCCCTGCATTCTTCCAGGAATATTCTAAATGCAGAGGACAGCCATGATTGCCAGCCACCTTACAGATGCATCCTTGGGCCCTGTATAATAGCATAAAGCACAAGTGGGTTTCAATACTTTTGCTCTAAATTTATAATGAGAAAAAAAGTTTGAAATTAGTGTAACTTGTAAAATGACTTTGACTTCAGCCTTCCCTGCCCTCCATCTGCATGACACACATCCTGGAACATAGGTTTTCCAGGGTGAGACATTGTATTTTCACCAGTTTTTGCCTAATGCTTTGTCCAACAGTGTCTTATTGACATGAAGGTCTAGAAATGGATGTAATGTAAAAAGGAATAAAAATAGAAGTCTCTGAAAAGGTAAGAAGTTGTTTTCCCCTTCCTAAAGTAACAAGAGCAAGAAATGGTCACAGCTGCTTTAGCTGCATGAACCAGTTTTGTGCTGTCAGATAAATGGAGATGAAGAAGCCACTCAGATTTTAGTGGCCATGGGAAATTTAGTGACAGAAAAGTGGTT